TGTGTATGTGTGTACAGTAGGCCTGCTGGGTGTGGATGTCCACATACGTGTGCATGTGTGTACATGTGCACAGGCCAGCTGGGTGTGGACGTCCACGTATGTGTACATGTGTGTATGTGTGTACAGTAGGCCTGCTGGGTGTGGATGTCCACATACGTGTGCATGTGTGTACATGTGCACAGGCCTGCTGGGCGTGGATGTCCACATATGTGTACATGTCTGTATGTGTGTACAGTAGGCCAGCTGGGTGTGGATGTTCACATACGTGTGCATGTGTGTACATGTGCACAGGCCAGCTGGGTGTGGACGTCCACATACGAGTGCATGTATGTAGGGGTGCACATGCTCAGGTCTGCTGGGTGCAGGATGAAGGGGGAAGAGGCAACTGCTATCACCTGTACAGGTTGAGATCGCTTAACTGAAATGCTTGGGACCAAAAGTATTTCAGATTTTGGAATATCTGCATATACTTAATGAGAAATCATGGGATAGGACCCAAGTTTAAACGTGAAAATTATCTATGATCTGCGCATCTTACACACAATGACTGCTGCCCAAGGTCTCCAACAGTGTGGCACAGAGACATCGACACTTCTCTTTTCTTATCATTGATACCCAAGGGGTATCTGCAGGCCTCTTCATGACATTTTCAACATCATCTTTACACCACAAAGTAGAGAATAAGCAAAAAAGCACGATGAGTAACGCACACAGGCCATGGCCCCGTGGTGCACTGCGAGGGACTGTCGGCATGTCCAGCCTGCACAGGCACCATCTTTTCACCTTTGTGCTTACACAGAGGAATGTGGGCATGTGAGGAAAAGTTACGTTGCAGCAGAAGGAGGCCAGGAGGGCCGTTTTTCCCTTAGGGAAGCTAAATAGACTGTGTATTGTGCACCTGTGTTTGGACTGTGACCTGTCACATGAGGTCTGGTGTGGAGTTTTCCACCTGTGGTGTCATTTTGGTGTTCAAAACATTTCAAATTTGGGGCTGGACATGGTGGCTCACACCTATAATCCTAGCACACCTGGAAGCTGAGGCGGGTGGATTCCTTGAACTCAGGAGTTTGAGACCAGCTTGAGCAAGAGTGAGATCCCATCTCTACTAAAAATAGAAAAACTAGCCAGACTTGACAATGGGCCCCTGTAGTCCCAGCTACACAGGAGGCTCAACAGGAGGATTGCTTGAGCCAAGAGACTGAGGTTGCCGGAAGCTATGATGATGCCAGGACAACAGAATAAGAGTGTATCTCAAAAAAAAAAGTTTCAAATTTTGGAGGATTTTGGATTTCAAAAATGTTCACATTAGGGATGCCCAACCTGTACATAATGTCTACAGATTTATCTCTATGGATAGAGGCTATTTTTAAAGTATTATATAAAAAGACAGTGCTCTGGGCTCTGGGAGGGTCAAGCTCTAGGACTACAACACTGAACAAGTTACTTAATTTCTTTGTACTCAGCTTCCTCATCCATAAAATTTAGACAATTGTACCTCCCTTATATGATGGTGATGAAGATCAATAAAGTTAATACGTGTGAAGAGCTTAGAAAAGTGACTGGCACAGTAATCACCATATAAAAATTAAGTGCAATATTAAAAATAGTTAGCATTTTACAAATATTTTCAAAGATTAATGTTCATAAATGATTTATTCTAGGAGTACCTACCTTCAAAACTACAAAGGATGTGTGCAAATCATAATGAGAATTTGATCATGACAAATTCACAAACTATTTAATAGACCAGTCTCAGAAGAAATATAAAAAATGACTCACTGAGACAAGAATAGCTTTTTAGTACTGAACAACCGGATATCCGTATACAACAGATATCCCTTATCTCGCCTATGTACAAGGATTAACTCAAAATGAAGCCCACAATCTAAATCTAGGAGGTAAAGCCATTAACCTCTTAGAGAAAAACCTCAGTGTAAATCTTACGATCTCAGAGGAAATCCTCCTCTCTTAAATGACACCAAAGGTGTAAGCAACTAAAGAAAGATATAAAATATTCCTGGAAACCAACTGCTACAATATGGATGATCTTGAAAATAGTACTTTAAGTGAGAGAAGCCAATCGCGAAGCCAATCATAACCCGGGTTGAGAGCCCTGGGCAGTGAGCAGAGACTCCTAAAGGACAGAGGGTTTCTTTGTGGGGTCATGAAATGTAAAACCCTGGCGATGGCTGCATAACTCTGAACATACTAAAAACCACTGAACTGTACACTTTACATGGGTGAAGAATATGGCACGTGAATTCAATTTCAATAAAGCTGTTACCAAAAAAGGGGAGAGAGAAATGCTTTGAGAACGTATTGAACCTTTAATGTTATGAAAATGAGCCCACTACCCACGCCTAGGTTGTATATACATACACATTATCTAAAATAATATAACTCTCAAAAAACTAACCACCAATATTAACTCATTTAAATAGTTTTTCTGTTTTACTATATTGCAAAGTTTTGTATACACCTCCAGAAATTATGTAAAGCTAAGAAAACAGTTATAAAAAAAGTTCTAGAAAGGCAAAACGCCCTGAAAGTTTTCATGCCACTCCTTTCCAAAAAAAGAACTTCTTCGAATATTTTTTAACTTTGTTGTTATAATAACATGTTATTTGTTAGGTGGGCTTATCTTTTTAATTTTTTTTTTTTTCTTTTGAGACAGATTCTCACTATGTCGCCCTCACGGGACTGCCGTTGTATCACAGCTAACAGCAATCTCAAACTCTAGCTTAAGCAAATCTCTTGCCTCAGCCTCCCAAGTAGCTGGGACTACAGGCGCCTGCCACAACACTCGGCTATTTTTTTGTTGTAGTTGTCATTGTTGTTTAACAGGCCCCCGCTGGGCTCAAACACACCAGCCTCGGTGTATGTGACTGGTGCCCTTACTCACTGATCCCACCATTCACCCTCCCTCAATCTGACCTCCCTCCTCCCCTTCCACCCCTCTCCTCACTCCTTCATCTTGGGCCATAGTTGTGATCTATTCTTCATATGGAAGTGTGAGTGATTGTAAATTGGTTTCATAATAGTACTGAGTACACTGGATACTTTTTCTTCCATTCTTGAGATACTTTACTAAGTAGGATATCTTCCAGCTTCACAGGCCATGCGCCTATCATCTTCAGAAAAGTTTCTCTTCAATTCCCTTGCCCACAATGAAATGGGATTACTTGTTCTTTTCTTGAGTTCTCTGTGGATTCTGGTTATCAAACCTTTGTCAGAAGCATAACCTGTAAATATCCTCTCCCATTCTGAGGGCTGTCTGCTTGCTTTACTTACTGTGTTCTTGGCAGTGCAGAAGCTTTTTAGTTTGATCAGATCCCAGCAATGTATTTTTGGTGTTGCTTCAATAGCCCAGGGAGGAGTCTTCATAAAGTATTCTCTCAGGCCAATTTCTTTCTCCTATACGCTCTCCAAGAATCTTTATAGTTTCATGTCTTAAGTTTAAATCTTTTATCCAGTGAGAGTCAATTTTTGTTAACGGTGAAAGGTGTGGGTCCAGTTTCAGTCTTCTACAAGTCACCGGACAATTCTCCCAGCACCATTTGTTAAATAGGGAATCTTTCCCCCAATTTATATTTTTGATAAGCTTATCAAAGATCAAATGATGATAAATGTCTGGGTTCATCTCTTCATTCTCAATTCTGTTCCATACATCTACCTTTCTATTTTTGTGCTAACACCATGCTATTTTGATCACTATGGATTTATAGTACAGTTTGAAGTCTGGTAGCTTGATTCCTCCTAATTTGTTTTTATTTCTGAGTAATATCTTGGCTATTCGAGGTTTTTTCTGGTTCCATATAAAATGAAGTACTATTTTTCAAGAAGTACATCGAAAAAGAAGGAATACTTCCCAACATATTCTACGAAGCAAATATCACCCTGGTCTTCAAACCAGGAAAAGATTCAACAAGAAAACTATAGACCAATATCTTTAATAAACATAGATGCAGAAATATTCAATAAGATCCCAGCAAACAGAATCCAGCAACATAGCAAACAAATTATGCACCAAGACCAAGTGGGTTTTATCTCAGGGTCTCAAGGTTGGTTCAATATATGTAAATCTATAAATATAATACATAATACATCACATAGACAAACTAAAAAACAAAGACCATATGATTCTCCCAGCAGATTCAGAAAAAGCTTTTGACAATATCCAACTTCCTTTCATGATCAGAACACTTAAGAAAATAGGCATAGAAGGGATTTTTCTTAAACTGATAGAGGCCATCTACTGCAAACCAGTCAATATCCTATTCCACTCAGATCAGGAACCAGGCAAGGTTGCCCATTGTCTCCAGGGCTTTTTAACATTGTAATGGAAGTCTTAGCCATCACAATCAGGCAAGAAAAGGTGATCAAGGGTATCCATATAGGGTCAGAGGAGATCAGACTTTCACTCTTCGCAGATGATATGATGGTATATCTGGAAAACCCAGGGACTCAACCACAAAACTCTTAGAATTGATCAAGGAATACAGTAGCATCTCAGGATACAAAAACCAATACTCATAAATCAGTAGCTTTTATATATACCAATAACAGTCAAGCTGAAAAAACAGTCAAGGACTCTATTCTCTTTACAGTTTTGCCAAAGAAGATGAAATTTGGGGGGATTTACCTAACAATAGACATGAAAAATCTCTATAAAGAGAATTATGAAACTCTGAGAAAAAAATAGCTGAAAGATGTTAACAAATGGATAATAAACTTTCCAATAAAATGATTATAAAGATGCTGAGTTGTTTTCAAATTGCTAGGATCTGCCAAAATTGAAGTAGCTAAAGGGGGAAAAAGGCACTTCTAATTAGAAAGAAACCATCTCAGTATTTTCTTAGCCTGATGTGGTGTCTGTAATCCCAGCACTTTAAGAGGCAAAAGCAGGAGGATTGGTAGCACCCATGAGTTCAAGACCAGCCAGGGCAACATAGTGACACCCATCTCTACAAGAAGTTTTTTAAAAAATTAGCCAGGTGTTGTGGTATGCACTGTAGTCCTAGTTACTTGAAAAGAAAAGGCGGGAGGATTGCGTGAGCCCAGTAGTTTGAGATCACATTAAGCTATGATTGTGTCACTGCGCTCAAGCCTGGGTGATAAGAGTATGACCTTGCCTGTTTAAAAAGAAAAGGCAAAGAAAGAAAGAAAGAAACCACTTGAATCTATGGGAAGAGTCACAGAAAGATAAAGATTATTATAATAGAATCTTAGCCAATAAAACAGAAATAATCTAGTTTATTAATTCTCTTGATCCACTGTCTCGTTCCAATCTTCCCTACTTTCTGCTCATTTTCCCTTTAGCAGCAGGACATTTAAGGAGAAAAATAAGAGATAATGCAAATATGTGTTATGTGTCTTTTCACCATGGAGGGCTCTTCAACTACCGGATCATGCAGCATTTACGGTAATTTGTATACACCTGCTTTTTCTACCATAGGATAACACTAAGAGGTGTGAAAATGTCACCGATCACCTCCAGCATATTTTAAAAGTAATTATTTTGAATTTTTGAATATTTGAATTTCCCAAATGTCCCCTTGGTATAAAAATGTCAGGGAGCAAATGAAATGTATGCTTCACTGTATTTTCAAAATAAATTTTCTGATCCCTCCAAGAAACTAATTAAAAAATGTTTTATTCACACTAAGAACATACCTAATTTTGATTGTTTTTTTATTTTAAACTGGAAATAATCTGCATTTAATTACTTACAGTGATTACTATATGCCAGGCCTGAATAATCATATTATTTTATAGGTATTTAACTCATTTACTCCTCCTCAAAACATGAGGCTGGGACTATTATCATCCCCAGTTTCTAGTAAGGAAGGAGTTAAGTAAGTTCCCTGCCTGGGTCACACCAGGGCTGTGTGTGCTCACCCTTTACACTGGGTTGCATCTCCTGTTACTGACTCCACAGCATCACAGAGCCCTGGATCTGAAAGTCATTACCATGGTTTTTGTCTGCTGGCTCACAGATCACAAATTTTAGCAGGCTGGGGGTAAGCAGGGACAATAACCACCAGCCTGAGTTAGACTAGAGTAGAAGCGGGTCTCACACCTACAGCTTCATCAGTGAACACAGGGATCTCCTGACTTCCACACAGGTCCCACCTCTGTAAGATGGAGACAATACTCCCTATCTCATTATGTTTATGACAAAATACAGAATATGAAGGGTTTTGCACATAAGACACATTTTTTTTTTTTTGAGACAGAGCCTCAAGCTGTCCCTCTGGGTAGAGTGCCGTGGCATCACAACTCACAGCAACCTCCAACTCCTGGGCTCAAGCAAGTCTCCTGCCTCTGCCTCCCAAGTAGCTGGGACCACAGGCGCCCTCCACAATGCCCCGGCTATTTTTTTTTTTGGTTGCAGCCGTCATTGTTTGGCAGGCCCGGGCTGAATTTGAACCCGCCACCTTAGGTGTATGTGGCTGGTGACTTAGCCACTTGAGCCATAGGCACTGAGCCATACGACGCATTTTTAAAATGTTCTTTGCTTTCCTTCCTTCTGTGCCCCTTCCCTATATGCAATCTATTGTGGGAACGGCACTTAAGAGCCCTTCTCTTGGAATATCTCACTGCACAAATGCTCAGACAGCCTCTGAGATCCCAAGGAAGCCCACAGTACTGGCTGCTGTATTAAATGGTGCTTTAAGTTTTTCCTAACTTATCCTTGGTATAGGATTCTGAAATAATGTCTTACTACAATGGTTGACAAGCTTTTTCTCTGAAGAGGCAGAGAGTAAAAGTTCTAGGCTTTGAAGGATGACACTCCACTCTGCCCCCGTAGCATGAAGGAGGCACAGACAGTACATAAAGGAGTGGGTGCGGCTGAGTTCCAGAAACACTGCCCTTACTGACACTGGGAGCCAAACTGAGCCCGCGGGCCATACATCATTTACCAGTCCTTATGTTCCTTGATCAAATTTAGAATTATGCAAAGTCTTACTGCTTATGTACAGATTGAGACACTAGATCTGAAAAGTTGCTATCATCAGTCATTTAAATATTCTTTTCAATTTGCATAAAAATAAAAATTTTGATTTTCATTTCTCACTAATAAAGCGTATGGGCTTTTATATATTAAACTTCCCTAATTAACTGATCTCAGTTTAGATCCATGAATCTGAGAGATTTCAAAACCAGTTTAATTGATAACAAAGAATTAATCTGCTCATCTGTTAGAAAAGTATAAAATCAGTTAGAAACTTTAACCAGATATGACACCTGTAGCCAGTTATCCTTCAACAGTGGAAGGTTTATTCCTCACCAACATCAATGATGTGTTTGAAACAGAGCTCATAATGACTTACAATGAAGCATCCTTCATTTGAGATTTTCACCTGTAACGCAGCATATCCTAGAAATTTCTAAAAACTGTTAACAAACCTGTACATGAACAGATTCAATTTCCATATGACAAAAGAAATTCTAATTTTATCCATCTTAAAAAAGAAAAAAAACCAACCGGAAGTGCTGCCGGCTTCCTCAAAATCAATATTTCCGAGGTGCAGGACACCAGCTACCACCCGGAAGAGATCAAGCTTTTCTTCATCATCCAAACCAATCTTCTTCATGGCTGTGCACATTCTGATAAAATCTCCATGGTCATCTAACAGAGGATCTTTCAAGGAACCTGCCTTAAGATACTATAAAGCAAAAAGACGTCAATTATCTGATTTTTACATTAATCAAGCAGACTAAAACAACGATACCAGGCCCATTAATGCACTATATAACATGCAAAAATAAAATCGGTCAGTGGAAAACTTCAGCATTCTAACAACCAGAAACTGAAGGACTAGGTGAAGTGCATACAGGATGTCTCTGGACTATTTCTTACAAATACATGTGAATCTACAATTATCTCAATAAAATTTTCAATCAAAAGAATGAAGTTAGATGATTTTCAATGAGAACACAATTTTCATTATAAAGCATTATAATGCTAGGATATTAGATAAAAATATAAACTGAGAAGGAAATATCAGTAGTGGAGATAAACTGGCATCCTCAGATCAAAAAGAGCTGAGGTAGTGATGAATATATTAATCTGATTTAATTATGCCACAACGAATACATATATCAAAATACTACGTTGTTCCCCAATGTGTTGTATAAATATATATAATTTTTATTTGTTAATTAAAAATAAAGACAAAAATATAAAAACTATAATAAAAAATTAAATCTGACCATTAGCATGATACTTCTTTAGGTTAACTATCAATTTCACCAAAATTAAATAGCAGTAAATAGTGGACAGGCTGAGACATTTGTCATAGCTTAAGAATTATTTTTTTAACCTTTCTATATACGTACATTTGAGCTAAAGTATATAAGTAACCATCATGCTCACTCTTAAGAACTTTGGTCGGCTCGGCGCCTATAGCTCAACCGGCTGGGGCGCCAGCCACGTACACCTAAGGTGGCGGGTTCGAATCCCCAGCCTGGACCCGCCAAACAACAATGACGGCTGCAACCAAAAAATAGCCGGGCGTTGTGGCGGGCGCCTGTGGTCCCAGCTACTTGGGAGGCGGAGGCAGGAGACTCGCTTGAGCCCAGGAGTTGGAGGTTGCTGTGAGCTGTAATGCCACGGCACTCTACCCAGGGGGACAGCTTGAGGCTCTGTCTCCAAAAAAAAAAAAAAGAACTTTGGTCAGGCGGCCCACAGGCCAGCTGCAGCCCGCTGAGGACATTTATCTGGCCCGCAGGCCACATGCAGCCCGCTGAGGACATTTATCCGGCCTGCAGGGTGTTTTTGCTGCCGCTGCCTGTCCTGCTTAGCAGCCAACTAGTCCTGGGGCCCACAGTCCAGCCCTCCAACGATCTGAGGGACAGTGAACTGGCCCCCTGTTTAAAAACTTTGAGGACTCCTGACTTAGGCAATGACTTAAAATGTTTCCCAAAAAATGAAGAAAAATGTGTTTGCCTTCCTAAGTAAACTTGCATCTACAGAATTTATTTGTTAGAACCTAAAACAAACCCTGTAAAGGAAGAAGAAAATCAAGCCTGCAGAAATTAGGAGAAACACAAAAGTTACTGGTCACAAAAAGATTAAACTAGAAATTTTCCAGAACATTAAGCATGAGAAATAAAATTAAAATCAGGCACCAGAGCATCAGAATCAGCTGGTCACTAAAGATACCTCTACAAGATGAGTTTTTTCCCCAGTAAAAAAAAAAAAAAAAAAAAAAAGGCTTTCTAGCTAAAATTGTCTTTCCACAAAATTCTTGAAAATGCTCCATGGTGTGTGCGAAATTTCTGGAAAATGTCTAGATAATGAAATTCAATTTTATTCTTAAAAGAAGCAAAGGAAACAATCACATGCAGCAAAATTTAACAGAAAACACAAACCATGCGGGATTTTTAGTCTTTCATTTGAATGCTTGATTCATTAAAAAACTGTTAAGTAATAGAAAGTTCATGAACAGATTTGCTAGGGAGCAGACTAAAAATACTGCATTCTTCTAAAAATTACACACAGATTAAAGACAGTCAAATGGAATTAGGCAAAGGGTTTAGTCAAAATGATCACCTCATCCTCCTGATAAAGAAGACATAAAAAGTAAGTTAAACACATTAATCCACTGTTCACTTAGACAAACACACACACACTCCCTCCCAACCACGTGAGTGAGATTCTTGACCAAGTGAACCGACTCTGCATCAGAAAGAATACACTTTTCTTCTGTGGAGAGTACAGGCTGCTCTTTGAGAGTAAACTCGTCTCCTTGGATCTCTACTCGGTTTTTTCTAAGCCCAAAGATCAGATTTATATTCTTTTTTTTCGACATTAGGACAACAGCGACATCCCGCTAGGAAGTATCTCCAGTGTCTTAAGAGAAAGAATACAACTTCTATATTTTGGTATCCTGGAAAAATATAGTTTCAGCCAGACAAAGAAAGAGACCATAAATATTTATGTTGGTTCTTAAAGTCCCAATCAGGACTACAGCATGAAGTTTATGATTTATGATTCAGAAATCTGTGTCTAAAATTACACTCAGAATGTCAAATGAAACAAAAATTAATATGGTTCTCAGGTTCATATGCTTAGAATCTGAAATAATGGAAATTATTTGTTTCCTGTTCTTTTATATGAATATATTAAAGACATAATTCATCTCACCCATCTTAACAGGAGTCGAAAATATCTAGCTCTTAATGTAGGAGTTTTAAAAACTGAGCACAATATAAGTCTTTGTTTAATTAAATGCTCGACATAAATCTTTTAATAAAATTAACAAAAGTGATATTAACCTGCCCCTATCATTAATCTTTATTTAGTAGTTCATAATTTAAGCATCTAGCATAAACACAACTTAATGTAACTTATTAAATATCCACATAAGAATTTATAAGGGTTATAAAATTTTAGATTAAGGATCTAATGTTTTAAAAATAATACTTAATTAGACAATTATATGCAATTACTCTTAGAGATATAATTTAGGGAGCTCAATATACAAAACTTTTCATAATACATGATAGTAATATGATATTTGAAAGAGAAATACAATAATACATTAGCATCCTTTCACAAGAATGCATCTGTGTATTGTCTACAATCAGAGGTGTCCAACCTGTGTCTCACGGGCCACATGCAGATTATTTGAGGTGTGATATCTAATACCACAGATAAGGTGGTGTTGGATATCACAGAACATATGTGTAGAGCTTTTCTTTTACTCATCAGCTCTCACTAGTGTTTGTTTATTTAATGTGTGGCCCAAGACAACTCTTATTCTTCCAATGTGTGGCAGAAAAAAGGTTGGATACCCCTGGTTACTTCAGCCTCGAAGGAGATAGTAAATTGTAAAAGACATATACTTAATCCCAAATGGGGAATTTGAGAGTACATTTTAAAAATGCTGCAAGAATAACTCGAATCAGTTTAATACCTTCATACTTAGAGAAAGAACGAGGGGAGATTGTTACACTGAGGCTACCAGGAAGAACGAGAACCTGCTCCTTCCGCAGACGCTGAGACAGGCACAAAGCACTGCCCTGAGAGACTCGACCAAGCATTAAAATACAAGCCTAAAAGCAAGAAATCTTCTTTGGGCTCCAAAATAAAAATGTATCTTTCAGCATGATTTCTTTTCCATTAAAGATTTTAAGGAAAAAAATTTACTGTACCTCAGGACTTTTGCGGTTCTGTAAAATCTGTCTGTCAGTTTCTTTGTTAGCAAAGTATCTAGTGCAGCCTCGGTTTAAATACTATGACAAAAAAAATTAAAATCTAATTAACATACATAATCTAGAGAAATAATACAGAAGAAAACACAACTTATCAAACAGTGCTAACACTAAAGAATTTCTAAACATGACTTCAATACTGTTTCATCTCTGAATTAAAACAATACTTCTACATTTTATAGGCATTTTATTCCTACTAATCAAACCAAGAATATTCAAAATTCTAATGATTAAAATAAAAATCAATACCATTGGCTCGGCGCCTGTGGCTCAAGTGGCTAAGGTGCCAGCCACATACCCCTAAGGTGGCGGGTTCGAATCCAGCCCGGGCCTGCCAAACAACAATGACAGCTGCAACCAAAAAATAGCCAGGCGTTGTGGCG